GCGAAACTTGTGAAAAGGCGTCTCCGAAAGCCAGGACGGCCGAAGCTGTCCCGTGGAGAGTCGGTGACTCCCCATGGTCCTGAGCATGCGGCGTAAGGGCGTGTCCTCCGTGGACCGGGCAAGGTGACCGAAATAGGTCCAAATACGTGTCAACCAGGCCACCTGCCACTGCGGTCCTCGAAAGCACTGGCAGTACACACTGAGTGCTCTACGACATCCTTGCACGTTTTCCAACCAAGTGCTGAAAGGATCTCTTCCGAAGCGAAAAACCCCCAGAAGCAAGGAATTCTTAAGCCCTTCTATGCTCTTCAGCGCGCGCACCGTAGGCCAAACGACCGAACTGCACCATTGCCATTTCGAGCTGATGTACGAGTCAAAGAGAACACTCTTAACCCTGTGCGGAGTCGAGGGCTTGTCCAAGATCTTCTTCATTGCAAAGAAAGAATTTGTCATCTTTCTGAGCGGGTGCATGAGGACCATGTCGGGGGCATTAGTGTGTGCAAGAGGTACCCCAAGGAACATCAAGCGGTCCTTGCCCTGCAGAGGGGTGCAAGAGCCCCGGAGCCAGACCCCCGGCGTCGATCCTTCAATATTAAGCACGCTGCACTTGGCAGGGTTGACAAAGAGCCCTACCGCCGCCAACGTGTCCGTCAGGTCCCTGAGTTTGACCTGAAGTTCCCTAGCATCCATCGCAAAAAGCATGACATCATCAGCATATAGCAGGAAATGTGGGAGCTCTATTGCATCCGCCCAGCGGGGAAACTCGGTATTCCACCGAGCCTGGAGCCCCCGCAAATGGAAATCTATAGCTCGAGCGAAGAGATCAGCTGAATAGCTGCTGCCTTGCATGATCCCTTGGCGGACCTCGGTACGCCAAGTCTCAGTTCCCAAACTCATTAGCAAACGATTTTGGGAGCACAGACGCCATAGCAGGAGGATCTCGGGACAAACCTCACAGTGCATGAAGAAGTGCACGATCGAAGAATGGGAAAGACTGTCGAAAGCCGCCCTAATATCTAGCTTGGCCACATGTGCTTCCACCTGGTGCTTTCTGCGTAAGACTCCTATTACTGTCTGCGCCGCGAGGATGCCGTCTACCGTCTGAGTTTTTCGTCTGCACCCCATTTGCCCACTTTGGTAGGGCGGGCATTTAGGCGCAACTCTCCCCATCAGTAGCCTGCCAAAGATCTTAGACAAGCACGGAGAGAGACAGATCGGGCGCAGGTCAGCAGGATTGGAGGGTTGGGGCGTTTTGGGCAGGAGCACTACCTTGGCCTCGTACCAGTTCTCGGGAAGAGGCTGTTGCCCAAAGAGCAAACGATTCATGAAGCGGAGAAGCTTGCCCGTTTTGTCGCATCTATGATAGGTCCGGATTGCCTCATAGCACACTCCGTCCAGGCCAGCGCTTGTGCGTGGCTTGCATTTGGCGATGGCCAGGCCTAAGTCATCCTTAGTAAAGGGCTGCGGTCTAACGGAGGAATGTGTAGCAATCATCCGATGGATCGCCTCCTCGGTGGGAGGCGGGAGGAGGGAAGCGTATTTGCGGTCATAGAACTGCCGGAGTTCCAAGCTGGCCGCTTGTTGCCCCCCTCTTTGCTCAATGTAGCTGGTTTCAAACGAAGCATGCGCGGCACTCTTTCGGAGGTACGTGATAGCCTGCCTATCCCCTTCCCTGGCTCGCTGCAGAATGTTCAACTGGTGTTCGTGCCGATCGTTGGTTCGGCGTGCCCGTATTTCGGACAACATGCTCGCTCTCGTGTGAGGGTCCTGGCAGGCACGTCTGGTTGCAATAAGGGCCTTAAGGTCCGAAGAGTCCTGGTATCGAAGGGAAGGAACTCGCTCGGCTTTTAAACACAACTCAGACATGCGAGAGGGACCAAACTCCATGTCCGAGGCCGCATAGCTCTCCAGCTCCGGAATGCTGGGCAGCCACCGGCCACACCTGGTGGTGGGGCGTGTGCCTCTGTGGAGCAGCGGCATCGGGGTGCAAATTCTCAGAAAGACGGGGCAGTGGTCCGAGGGGAGCGCCAGTCGCATGTCATCCCGCTTGTGAGCATACGTGAGACTTCTAGGGACACGAGCCAGGACAGCGTCGATTTCGCTAGCAGCCCCACGGGCCGTCCAAGTGATGCCCACGGAACGATGCAACGAGAGGCTATGTTTCTGAAGCAGAGCCCTCAGAAGCCCCATTCCCGAAAAGGTGTCCGAGCTGGCATGAAGGTCCTGGTTGAAATCACCGCCGACGATGACCATGGCCTCGCCACCTGTATCCTGCAGTTGAGAATCCAGTAGCTCCAAGGTGTCCTTCCAAACCTCCTCTGCAGAAGATCGTGGTTTAGCTTCGGTGCTGACCCGTTTACTGTGGGGCAAATGCAAACATGCCAAATGAATTCGGTGATTCCGACATGCACCATGCAGGACAAGACCAACGGGAAGCCCCGACTTGTGTGTCGCATGGAATTCCAGTTCGGTTTTGACAAGAATAGCCTGGTTGAGGTGTGCTTCGGGCGCGCTGCAGTGATACATCTTGTAGGGTACAGACCCAAAACAAAAATCCGAGACCTGAACCTCAGGAGTGGCCCCAGGACAAGCACCTAATTCCTGCACAAAAAGAAAGTCAGGGCATGGGACAGTCCCCTGCCACAGATCAGCAACCTCACGGAGACTTTTACCATGAAGATTCCAGGTACATGCTACGAATTCGGGTTTGAGGGGTCGCCCTCGTTTCCTGTTCCGGCCACCCTCCTAGGGGGATCCTGACGCCTCAACCTCGAAGTGTGTATGCAAGACCTTGAGATCAATCCCCAAAGTTCGAGCGAGAAGGGGACCCGGGACCCACCATCCCGTTTCGTGGCCCCGTACATCAAGCAACAACAGAGCCCCATCATCCGGACGTTTCTGGTCCACGTGGGCAAGCACACTGACCCCATTAGCCCAGAACCTTCCACGCCAGTCAAACTCAAAGTCCCTGGGGGGCAAATGTTTGGCAACAAGAGCCTTGAGGGACACTATGGCTCGAATACGGGCTCTCTCCTCAGGACTACGGTTTCGCTTTGCCCAAAGTGCCCCCGTCCCTTGCCCTGGAAGGGAGCTTGGCTGAGCAACTGCTCGGAGGGCCTCAACACACATGCCTTGGACCTTACGTCGTTCTGCCATGGCATCCTGCATGTACAGCAAGTCGACCCTACACGTGTTGGAACGCACCGAGCTGCAATGCATGGCCTGCAGGAGAGGGCCACACTCAGCTCTCGTGAACCAGTCTCTCACTTCTTGTTCGATGTCCTCGCGTTTCGCATCCTTCCAACCGCCTAAAACAACCTGCCAATCATCATGCGCGGGATTCCCACGAGCCCCACGAGGTGAATGCGTCGGAGTGTATGCTGAGGTGACACTAGGAGACCTAGAGCGAAAATCCCTCATCTCCTGTTCCATAGCCGCCAAACGGAGCTCAAGAGCCGCAGTTCGTTCTAAGTGCGAATCCTGCCTCGACTCCAAAGACTGCACCTTATCTGCTACTCCCTGAATGGAATCTCTAGTGACCTGGATGGCCTGCATCTGCTCGTGTTGTCCTCGATGAAGCCGGTCGATGCCCGCCTGAAGTGAGGCTGCCCACGGCGGGGGGACATCATCACCAATGTCGTACTCCTGTGGCAGCGGGCGTTTGTTCTTGTCGGGGGGGACAGGCCCCCCCCCAAAAAGGGGAGGGGGTTGCAGCCCCACTGGCGGTCCTTTGGCGGCAGCGGGATCGAGGGTCGGAGGTCGTGCTTTCTTTTCGGGGCTTGTTTTAGGCGAGGACTTGGGGGCTCGGGTGGCTTGGTGTTTAGCAAGGAGATTAGCGGCCACCGCTGCTGCTTCAGCCTGCTTGGCTTCAGTTTCCGCCAGCCCCACCCCTCTCCCCGGTCCAGGATCACACGGCCCACCCACGGCATCCCCCAAGGCGGCCCGGAGCGCATCCTGGGCCGCTTCTTGCATAACCATGTCGGGCTGCTCGGCCCCCAGAAGAGCCCCTGAGCTAATTGGCGTCCCAGCGTCATCCACCCCCCCCCCCCCCCCTCCAGTTGTTCGGAACGGTGCAGGTGGGGCAACAGGAGCGTACTTTCGTCCGACCCCGCCATCCCGACGAACGACGACACGACGAGAGGGACTGGTGGAGTAATGCACCCGGGAGGCCTCAGAACAGGACTACGAGGAGGAGGAGAGCTCAAGCCTGCCCGACGCGGCCCGGAAGGCGCGACCGCGCTCCAGGGGCACACACGCCAGCTGACGGCGGACTTGAGCCAAAATGGCTTGAGCCAAAATGGCGAGGGTTTAGGGTTTAGGACTATAGGGGCCTTAGTAACTAGAAGAGGGTTTTGGGTCATACTATATTATGCTTATAATGCGGAGCCCCCTAAAAAGTGTTGCTACTGATTTAGGCCGCTATGCTACACTCCATAATACAGGGCCCTCTCCCCTATAATTGAGGCCCTTTAACCCTTTTTGAGCACGGACTTGGAGTGCATGCCGGCAGCGAAGCTCTAGGGGCAGAGCCTTCCTCAGTCACCTTAAAGGGCCTCAACCCTAAACCCCTTACATTATTACGGTTCTTACCCAAAGGGTCCAAGCAACACTATGGTATATACTTATAGTGTATTTTGGGGGTCTAAGTATATATATATATATATATATATATATGTATGTGTATATATATATATATATATATATATATATACCATAATGACACTTGGACCCTTTGGGCTAGAAGCCACCCGTCGGGTCTCGGTCTACGTGAATCCATCGGCAGCCCTGAGCCCGAAACTTGCAAACATGCAATGATATTGTACGTATTATACACGAAATACAAAACACCGAAAATATGCGTGTGTGTATATATATATATATATATATATATATATATATACAGTATATATGTGCATGTATACATATTCTGTTTTGCATATATATATATATATATATATCATAAGCCCAAAAACAGCAAGCCTGAACTTTGGGAAAGGCGCCCCGTGTCTGAATCGAAGTCGTCGTAGCTGTGACCCTTCAAGGCGCGCCAATGGATCATCTCCTTCACCTGGCCACATGGATCTAGCTATCTTAGGACCTGGAGAAATTACTATGATGCCAGTACTATTCCAGTAACTGCTAGTAGCAACAGCAGCAGGAAAATAACAGCATCAGCTTTGGAGGTATAATAAGGATCATGGCCGTGCGCAATTCCGCTTATTTCGGGTCCCTGGAGGACTTCATTGCAGGATTCAGGCCGCCTGTGATGCAAAGACATCCCGTAGCGTCCTTCCATCACCGGGCAACCCTCAGCTCACGATTTAACAGCTGTCTGAAGTAAGCCCTGCACCCTGAACCCGGAAAACCTTCAACCAGATGTTGAACCCTACAATATTAAAGCCTTTCGGGAAAAGTGTTAACCGACTCGGCCTTCGTAGAAGAGTAGGGGTTTTGAAGCATGTCGAAATAGACCGTGAGGAGGAGCGCAATTTGCAAGCCACTGTTGACAATCATTCCTCCAAGGGAGGGCTTGCTGGCTTGCTTTAGCGCATGCACTTCCTGTACACCAGCCTGGCAATAGCATCTGAGAGCGTCGCTTTCTTGTTCACTACAGGAGTTAATTGGGCGGCATTGATCTTCTCGCTGCCTCTGCTCCACAGACTGCTGCCTCTGCTGCTGGTTGTGCTGCTTGTCCACGGTTGTTGCTTGCGATGCCGCTTTGCATGCAGACGTTACAATACAACAGCTGCAAAAACAGCCGTAGTTTTCCTGCCTCACCAGACCGCATATGTGAAGAAAGGCAGGGAGAGTTCGACTTCTTGGCGCGCGGAACTTTAATTGCTAAGTCGAGTCCCTCCTAGGAACGCAGCTGAATCGCCGTCCTATGAGCAGGATCACTTTGTCGGTCCACGCTGTCCGGTGACAGAACAGCAACACCGCCTAGGTCACCGGCACACACGATGTTTTGAGCCTCCAAGTAGAACCTAAACCCTATACCCCTTTAAAAAGACCCTTAAAGGAACCCTTATAAGTACCCATGAACAGGCAGCACCGTTGCAGTTGCTGCATGCAGAATTGTCAAGCCGTGCACAGCTGAAGTTCCAGTGCCTAGCCTAGTCTCGGCAACCACAAGTCGCAGCAGAAGTGAGGTGCTGAGGCCTGAAGGCTAAAGCCTGGTCATAGGATGGTATCCAATGCTTTAAAAGCACCGTCAGCAGCAGAGTACAGGTGACACTATTGTTACGACTGTTACGAGTGACAGTCTGACACAAGCCCAAAGCGTCCGTGTATTCACGCAGCTTTGCTTCGGCAGTTGCATCTCTGACCGACAAGTGCCAGAAAGATCCAGAACCATGCGGTCATATGACTCGAGGTTGGAGACTACTACTTTGACTGGAAAATAGTAAATAGAGGTTTGTGGATATTTACTTACAGGGTTTTTTGTCACGAAGTACTCAGCCTCCCACGGGTTCCTGACTCGAGAGGTTCACGCCCGAAAGCTAGCTTTTCCACGAGCGCAGCATGCCACCACGCTGCGGCATCCCACATGGACTGCTCAAGCTCGTAGGAAGCAGGTGGCGGCTCCTGCCACAGAGCATAAGTCTACTATAGGGGCCTTTATACTCGGAATAGGGTGTTGGGGTATATTATACTACAATCATCTTGAGGAGCCCCCAAAATAGTACAGGTAATTATTCAAGCGCCTATATTCAACTGTGACTCCAAAGATCTCGCACTGTCGTCTGTTCATGGTACTTCGACCCGGTGAGAGGGGACTTTTTTTTCCAGACTCCCTTTTGAGGACAACCCTGCGGACCGTGCACGGGTGTGTACAGTATTGTCACGGGCAGTTATGTGGACCTCTAATTCTTCAATTTCGAGCAACTGATAAACACGGATGGCCCCCAAAGACGGCGGGATCGTCAATCAAATGTCTACCCTAAACCCTATACTACATGATCTATCAACCCCGCATAAGATGGGGCTCAGATCTGTGGCGGCCTCTGGCACAGCAGACGTTTGAATTCAAAGCCTGACGGAATCCTCGCACATATAGGGGTTCGAGATCTGAAGGCTCAGCAGCCACTGGTTCACACGTGGGAGTTTCCGAAAATCAGGAGCAGCTTACAGGTGGGGTCCTTATAATCAGGATGCTACCAGTTAGGGTACTGTATTACGGTCCCCTATTTCGGAAACTCCCATGTCACGCATTCGTCATCGTTGTCGCTGTTTGTTTTCGCTTTCCTGGTACCTTGCTTGTGTGCTGAGGGATCAAACAACTGAATCGGTAAAAGCCGGTACGCGGCTGCTGAGTTGCTCTGAACGTCGTACTAGTTCAGCTGTACGTCTGCCCTTTGCTCGATGATATGCTGCTCAGCATTCCTGATGTTCGAATGCTAGATACGTAGCATCCGGATTCTTGTCAGATGGAACCCTGAATAACGACTCCTTATTTGAGAAGCCCCGGCCGCCACAGCCCTCACTGAACTTCCCTTCAGAATGCAAAGCTTGTTGATGGTCAAAAAGGGCATGAGCTTCGGGCCAGTGAGCTAGACACCCTTTTTACAACTGGACTCTCACGAATGCCAGCGAAGACACGGCCAGAAACCGTAAACCTTTTTTTGTTGAAAAAGGTCTCTGTGAAGTGCCTCTAAGTTGCTAAACCCGAAGCCCTAAATCCTGGACGGATTCATCCCTAGGGGTCCTCAGCTGCGAAACATCTTTTTTGCAACTGGGCTTCGGGACTAGCCGGATCCCTGCTTCACAAAACACGAACATCCCGCAAGCAAGCCCTAATACCTAAGTAGTAAGTTACCGACCCCTATGTTGTGTTAGGTTACTAAAGATTCATGTATCATGTAGGTTACTATAGATACTACTAGCCCATTATTCAGGTAGCTGCGGCCTATAGGGGAATCATTGAATAATATAGGGGCCCTGATAATTAGAATTGGGTTTGGGGGTACATTATACTATAAACACATTCAGGAACCCCACAATAGTATGGGTAATTATTTAGACCCTTATACGAAACCCTCATTGCTGCCCTTGTAGTAATCCTTATAGAGCCCCTTTAAACGGAGCCCTATACTAGCCCTTTAAAGGCCCCTTGTTTAGGCCCTTCTAGTACTAATCAAAGCCCTTATGTCTGAGCTTCCCGGCAGCAACCCCGGAAGCCTTCGACCAAAACCCACCGCCTTTAGTTTAGGGAATTTGATTTAAAAGCCTTGGGCCTTTATTGGGGTTCTTTAAGGGTTCCTTTAAAGGGCACTACAAGGGCTTTGGGGGGTTTAGTGTGGGAATCTGATTAAGAAACCTTGGGTATTGGGGGTCCTTATATGAACCCTACTGTTTTGGGGCTATAGGCCCAGGGGTTTTTTGTCAGGTTCCTACAATTGCCTCTTTGCCAGGCAGGGCTGGGAGCTCGAACAGTCCCCTCCACGGTGTAGGGCTTATAGGGCTTATACGGGTATAGGCCCCCCAAGCCCCCCTCGCGCCGCAGAGGCGAGGGTCTGGGCTCTCAGAACTGTCTTCTCATTCTCCTGCAGCGAAGTTGGATTGCGCCACTTGTTTTTCGAGGTGTTGGGCTGTGTCGCTTGGGTTTGAGGGCTTCGCATTCCTGCAACTGTCCCCCTGTGACAGTGGTGAACTCTCTGAGACGCTCAGGATCTACTACGTTAGCCTGCCTTTACATATTTCCACAGATTTGCCATGCGGGACCGTGGATTCAAGGTACCTCGCCACTCTTGGCTTGGCTTAGGTGTGTGGCTGCTCTAGGAAAAGCGTTGACTTTAAGTCTTTAAGTAGGGTTTGTGCAGGACCTATCAGGCATCCTGCATTTCAGCAGGCGGGGATAAGACTAAGATCTTAATGTCGTGGCACTTCGGAAGGAACCCAAACTTAGAACGACACTCACATTTCCTTGCTTCCAACTCTGGTGCAGTTCTGGGGAGTTGGGTTCGAGTGCAGTAAGTCATGAGTAGCTTGGTTCCGCCATGACCCCAGAATAATGCGTGTCCCGTTTTTCATACACTATTCAGTTATAGCGGCGACATTCAAAACAACAAAGGACCTCAACCCCATAAATCCACTCATCGCACATCTAAGGCCCTTAATGCGCAACACAAGCCATCGACGGAACCGAAACCATAATGTAGAAGCCTGAATGAGTGAGTAATCGTATTCGTCAAGGATCCCGCTGTAATTATAATTAGCACGAGCCAAAAATTATGCGCTATTTAAGGCCCGTCGGCCACACTCGAGAGCCTGCTCGACAGTCACAGCTCCGCTCATGGCAATGATCGTCGGGCCCTGAGCGAAACGATCTTGAGATATCGGGTCTGAAAGCAAGTGAGTGCGGTGGTGTATATTCGACTCATGCTACTCTGAGTCTCTGTATGGCTCGCGTACAATTCTCTTAGGGCATTTACAGGACCACGAATGCAGAACAGTTCTCATTGCGGAGACTCCAGTTCCAAGCGAACAAAACGGCAAGTGAATCAAAGTCAGAATCGAGCGTCTTAAGCCCAACATCCACTGCACTGGACAATGAAAAAGGAAACGACCGTCGAGGGTTTTACGTTGTAGGCAGCTCAAGCCCAACGTTCCCTGCGCTGGATAATTGATACCGATACGGAGCCGTTGAGAGCGTGCATCCTGTAAAACCTGGGACAGAAACACTCGCAAGCCCCATGTGCAACTCAGGAATCACGACAGCTCAGAACCTTTGTCAAGATGTGATCTGAGCCCAGTAGCAGTTGTAGTCGCAGTGGCAGTAGCAGTCGTCGTCGTTTAGTAGTAGCATAGGCGAAATAGAGATTAATGATAGCACAACAGCCCTACTACGGTGAAAGCAGTCGTCATCGTTGTAGTCCTTGCAGCAGTGGCTGAAGCGGCAACTGGACTCTCAATCGGCATTTGGACCAGTGCGTCATTCCGGGAGTTGCATGTATAATGATTGGACTAGGGGAACTTCTGCTACGGCTACAAGACCCAAAACGTCGAGGCATCGTACGCTTGGCTTGCAAAGTTCTTTGTCCAGCTGCTTTGACCGGTTATAACGGCGTCATGGCACAAGGGGAGAGGGGCGCAGTCGGAGTATTTCAAGTACTGTAAGCACAAAACACCATGCCCACGATTGAGGATGCATTCTCGACTTGCATGACCGCATACAAAGTGCAATATCTTCAGCACATCCCCGCGAGCTTCGAAGTCAGCATGCCGGGATCATCCCGATTAGCGGCCGGGGGATGAGGCTATAGCATGTGGGAAGTTGCCTTGCGGCTTGTTCCAGACCAGGAGCATGTGGAACACATCGGGCTCGGGCTTTTATTGTTCACTATCAAAAACTTCACAGCAAATGTCCGCAACCTCGTCTCCCAAAATCGGCGGGGCTTTTGGCGTTAGAGCCATAATAAAGATGACATTTTCAACATTCTCGTGGGGTTTATATGAACAAAAATGAAAATCTATTCCGAAAATGACTATAGTGTACTGGAGCATTCGCAGTGCCC